TATATGGTGGAAATAATACAAAGTCGGTATCAAATCGTACATAACATGGAAATTATTACTTTTATCTTGAATACTTTCTTAAAAACTCAGTACTTTTTTCTTAAGATTGAGTTGGTTGAAAGTTTGGCTGATTTGGAGGCGTGTAGCTTTAACCCATATTCAGCTGAGTGTTTTATAACTTAGAATGCCATTGGTTACAAATGTAAGTAAAACGATTTTAATATAGTTACGCCGAAAAAGAACTTGACTCCTATAGCAACCGTGTATAAAGTTGCGTAGTCACGATTATCCGATGGAAAGCGGAATAAACATTTTACCCGTAAACGTGCAATCTTTAAATATTCATAGCTTTTACTTTCATATCCACTATTCGTTGCCATTCGTTTGTAATTTATATCTGCAAGCATGGCGAATAAATGAAATTAAAACCTCCTGTCATTTACGCTTTATAAATAAAACATATGCTTTAAGTCAATAAAACTACATGTGTAACAGCTTTATGTAATTATAAAATAATTGATAAAATATTCATTATGACTCTCATTTGAAATCAACCTTTATGAACATTTTTTGCTTAAATGTTTAAATCTATTTCTTTCCTGTCTGTTCATTATTTTTAACAAAATACGTATTTTTAATATTCACGATATATAATTGACAACTTTCTTTGAAATAGAAATAAAACTTGAGTTAAATTATGTTAAAAATAACAAATTCAGACTTTTACTAGTAACTTAAAGTCGATCTTTTTTATTTGTTTCTCAGTATTTTTTGTATCTTGTAGTATGATACCCTGACATTTTTTATTTCATCTTAAAAATTAGTAGATTCTCATTACTTTAACTTTTATAATTCTTGCCACAGTATACTCAGTACATAAAATTTCCGTGCAAAATATATTCAAACGTTCCTCTTAGTTTGCGTCATAAATGATTTGTTAGTGTTTGAGTAATAAATATTTAACAAGAATCCACGCCATTCAAGTGTCAAATATGTTGATTTTTCACGTTTTCTTGAAAGTAAATCTAAACGTTACCGTCTAGACTGTTTTAGATGTAAATGTAGAGTTTTCGGTGTGGATTATTCTTGTGAAATATAACAACAAATGTGAGAATTGTCGATCCTTCTATTTCAGTTTCAGATGAGTCATTTTCACCTAGAAGCGCTTTAACTGCTTGATAATCACCACTTCTGTGTATTATGCAACCTGTTAGAAAGACCATTAGCAAGATATTATGCAAGGCTAAAAAAGCTGCGTAGGGATGGTGTATCACCACAGGTATGCACTGCATAAAATAAATACTACCTTGACGATTTAAAACACAGAAATTTCATTACACCCTTTCTGGTACTCGTTTTATACTGTGACAGCACGTCAATGTCAGGTTGAAGGTAACCAATAACTGTGATTTCTATATTGGTTTGATTTGGTAACGAGTCTGATTGATACCTTATCCACAAAATATTAAAAGCTGATTATTAAAGTTTTGGAAGCCGAACAACGTTCGCACATCACTATCCCAATCATTTCAATATGGATAGATAGAAAAAAGAAAAAACTCTGCTGTTTTATGACAGTCCAAAAAAGGCTCTTGCACCTATGCGTTTTGTCCCTCTTCAGTCCCTCTTCAGGTTATACGCATGATTTAAATTAAGCCTAGTTCCCCGATGACAAGTCTCGGTAACAATCGCAACATTTCGGCCCTTTCCGCCAGTCTTCGGATAGCCGTGGAATTCATCGTGCACAAATGCGTCACATTTCAGATATTAAGCTAATGCCAAATGACACTTCTGTCACAATTTAATGTATGTTTATCCTTCTAACACTATCAACTGTACTTCATCAACAGTCTGTCCACTTACAGGACTATTTGGCCTACCACAGCGTTCTTCGTCTGTAACAGAATGATGTTCGACCCTCTAGATACTCTTTTGCCATCTAAAAACAAGCGATCTTTTTTGTTGTTTTGTTGTATTTTGCGGATATATGATCCTCCGCCTAAAAAAACACTAAAAGTGCATAACAGTTAATCGTACTGCGTATCCTCACCTGTTTCGCCATTTATTGTGCAACGAAGTCACGATGTTTTAAAAAAAAATCTAGCAGTGAGACATTTTGCTTAAAGGAACTCCACTGTGGTCCAAAAGCCTAAAAGAGAGCAGCTCGTGCATTTAAACAGGAAAATAGTTAACAGAAAATTGGGACATAAAGTCAGAAAGAAATTGAAAATGGTATGTTTGTGCTATTATTAGCAAAAATGGAGGGAAAACAATTTTCACACACACACACACACACACACACGCGCGCGCGCGCACGCACGCACGAGCGCACGCACGAACTAACACACACGCATACATACACAATCTATAATGATGGCAGGAACGTAAATATTAAGCTTTAAATAATTTGCAGTTTTGTTTTGTCCGAGTTGCTGTACCTTCAGAAATGTAAAAATTGATAAAACTGTCTACAACAGTGGTTTACTGCATCATGTTAACGTGTGTTCCAGTTTTTTAGGGAAATGAAAGTTAGTAAGCAAACATTGTAAAACCTGACCAGACTGCACGGATGTCCAGGCAATTCGGGCTCTATACAAATGATAAGCATTTTTAGCTCTAGCAAGACAAGGGATAAGATTATTTTTTAAATATTGGACACAGCTATCTCAGAATGATCAATTTTTATTTGTTTTTATAACAACCTTTAAATATTGATATTATTTCGTGATTAAAATATTATGTTTAACCATATCATTTACAAAACAGATTGATATTTTAGATTGGCGATAGTAAATTAATGATATTTCATACAGGAAATTAAAAAGAACTTTATATAATTGATTGTATAAACAAAGACTGCCGCCCAATTACAACTATTTTGCAGGAAATAGATTGATTAAGGAACATTGATTGTAAAATTGTTACTGTTTTTCCTGACAACAATTATTTCCTTCCATAGACATGTGTTTTTCTTCATTGAAACAGAGAAAGTCGTAAAATGTCAATTGCAATATAGTACAGCCTGTTTGGCATGCATTTAAATTTTACATATAAGCCGTTTATGAACAAACGTAAAAATCAGAATAATTTGATTAAAAACCGTAACAAATCGAGACATTTTATAACTTTTATACCAAAAAAAATGCAATACAGTAAAGTTAACGATTCGGTCTTTTCCAGTCAAACAGTTTTCAACAAGTATTAAAACAAGAAACACGGATATTAAAGATTATGCATACAATGCTGTTTGTTATAATTGGCAAAATACGCCAATGTTTAGATAACAGTGGTTTAAAGTTTTGACACTTTGTCATACGATTATCATATACGATTATCATATCTTTGAAACATCTATATGAATTATCTTAGAACTTTATTAAGCTTCATCTTACTGCAATGTATTGTGTATAACCACCACAAATATTCCATATCTAACAATCTTAATTATGTCTTCCTATGATAAGTATACATGGGTCGTGTATTTTTTGGGACTACAGATAAACATTTTGTCAGAGTTTATGTTGGGAACATAATTACATTTCTATTTGAACGTTGACACTATCATTACAGCATCGTCTGTGGGGAAATAAGAACAAGGATGACAAAACACGGTTATGTAGATTATTATACGTATAACTTGTAGAGGTTACGCCAATCCATCTTTTTGACAGTGTGCACGATCACGTTAACGAATTCGGTCATGCCTGATACATATAAGGTACGTAATAACTTGTTTATTAGAATTTATTAAACTGATTAAGATCAGATTTGTCAAATAATAATACAGGTAACTCGAAAAACGAATTCGGTGACATCCAGTTGTTTCATCTTTGATATTTTCATATGAATGTTTGTTCATGCTTACTTTGAGTTTTTTTTAATGTTTCCAATCAAAAGTGAAGAAAATGATTTTAGAACTGAAAGAGTTTGAACTTCCATTTGATAATATGAAATGATATTTACGTACCTACCTACAACGGAAAAGAAAGCTGTTACAAGCTCTGTACTAAAGATATGTTACAGTAGCTTCGTTATGAACTATCAATGTACATGTATATCTATCGCTTCAATAAAATACAAATAAGTGCCCTTTTAAATTTGTATGTCTGCTGTTCATATATATGCAATATTTTGTTCGGTTTAGTAAGTTTTTTTTTTTAAGATTCTGAACGACAGACATCGCTTAAAGATATTATAAAAGATAAATTACAATTATTTTGTATTTATTTTAACTCATTTCATACTGTCCTGTTACTTGCAATGGTAATACATGTAAATTAAACAATGCGTATTAACTTGATAAAATCAAATATTAGTATATGGTCTAGCGTGAAAACAATATGTTACAACGTCTCATCTTGAATGACAAAAAAAAAAACTTACAAGTTATTCATTACATTACTAAATTCTAAACGGGAACTTTTGGTCATACGGAAAAGATCCAAAACGAATAATGTGTAAATCTTGAATATCTCCAAATTAGGTTATTAACAAATAAATAGGACAATGGCATTTGTTCAGTGTTTTTAGAAATGTACCATTATCATAACTGCTCTTTTATTTAAATATTTGAACCACAGGCACGAGTATCGAACCTTGGAAAAAAAATATGACCACATTGATAAAAAAACCTCTGTGTTCATCTTAAATGTGTAAAAAAAAAGAGAAAAAAGGGAAATATGAGCCCCCTTAAAATATACATGTAATAGTATATTTTAAGGGAGCCAATATTTCACTTTTTTGACACATTTAAGATGAACACAGAGGGTTTTTTTATCAATGTAGTCATATTTTTTTCAAAAACTTGGCGTAATTTAAACGGAAAGAGTCAAAAGTTTAGATCATATAATAAGTTATAAAGGTAGAATTATTACAGAACAATCATGCCTTTTAATTAATAGTTAAGTAAATCATACTTTTTTTCTGATTTGTAATCGTTTTGAACCGGAAAACCGGTTATTAAGATAGAAATTGGGAGTTATTGAAAAAGAAAGTCACCATTTTCCCTTTGAATAATGATTTATTTATTTTGCTTTCTTTGAAACACTATATTGAATAGTCATAGAATAAATTGGATTTGTTCAAATTTATCTAAAAATAATTAAACAATAAAATACATGTTAATTGATTGTATTCAAACACCTGCTATCGTGTATTGTATAAATAATTTCATTTTGTTTGAACTACATGTATATACATGAATTTGTGCTGCTTTTTATCAACTTTGGCAGACTTATGCATGTTACCTGCATTAACATAGATGTAAATATGATTAATTTGACAGAAGCGCCTGTTAACGTCTATGAGTTATAACTAAACGTTTAGCAGAATCTATGATATAATTTGGTCTGTGTACTAAATATTTAACAGAATGTAGCACACAAATATAATACAAGTCTTCTAACAGGTGTATGTTATTCATTGCAAAGGTTATTAAGCTTAAATGTTTTGAACAGCAACACAATGAAAAATGTAACAATCATTCCCTTAAACCTTATCAAAATTAAAACAATACACTCAAATGATTGAGTAAGAGGTAATACATTTTGGAAAGTATTTAATGCTCCATACTGGCATAAAATATTGAGAGTAATGGGTAATAATATTATTTTCAGACTTGCAAGGGATACTGTTTGCATAAAAATGCATCCGCTTGTATCTCAAGAAGTCAATTATCCAATTTGAATGAAATAAAAGTTTTGCGCCAAAAATCTAAAGCAATAAACTTAAGGAATATATAAGATTGATATCAAAGCAACAATTAAGCTACCATGAAATCAAAGCCATAGCCCGTACTTTTGAATGATATTTACTTATATTTTTACTTTCTTCTGCATAACATCAATATCATGAACTCATGTCATTATTCTTACAGGGAGCAAAACAGTGAGTAGATTTCGTACAAATTAATATAATTATCTTCCCGATTATACTGAATGGAAATAAAATGGTGATGTTTGTTAAATATATATTATTGTGCAATGCCACATCTGATGAGACAAAATTATAAAATGTACCTTATCTTGTTGAATACCTGTATTTATTCAAACATAGTGTATCCATATATATATGATATATATGGATTCACAAACGAACAATTTAATAAACAAGTATATGTAACAATTAAACTGTACACAAGTGAACATTTCCTTAATGATAAAATGTGTATTGAAATATATTGACTGATAATTCGTGCATTCCTTCTTAAGCATTAATATATCGTAACTTTTCCATGTGAAACGACTTTAATATGTAAAACTGTTACAATAAATACAATATATTCTTCTTATGAACACTTTTTCAAGTCACAAACTATCTGATAATTGTCAAATTATCCACTGTTTTGCAGCTTGTTAAAAGATATTTGAAATACCTCCAACCAGAGTAATTGTTTCGTCTTTAAGCATGTCAGGTATAGACATCCTTATGACAAACATTCATGAGACAAATTAATATAACCAGCGATAGAATATTTATGCCTACTTCACACACGTAGTTAAACTAAATATTCACCGATGGCAATTACATAAGATGGATGTGATTCTGATAGATTATCATTGCATAGTCATAACTTTGTCTTTTAATATCAACACATACTATTTTTCTCAAACAATTGCATAATGTTATCATTTCTTGATAACGTTAATTTATGTTTGTTTGCTATATAACTGATCCCTGTTACAGACTTTTCACTCCATGCATCATTATACAAGTATTCATGGTTCGTTTTCGTCTAGAAACGAGACTGGGTATATTTCAATACGGCCATTGTTCCACGAATACAAGGCCTGGTCGGAAGGGCTGTAATCCAGAGAGTACACTCGTGCGTAGTCATTTTCAACTGCGTTAACAAATTCTAATTCATCTGGTTCCAATCGTTTACCTTTACCTTTATTTGTGTCATACACGTAATTGATATGGGTAGGAGCTGTATCAAATGCATTAATGGTGTAAAGAATTCCGCAAATGATAAATGCATTTCCTACATCTTTCTTTTTTATTTGTGTCACCCACGTGCCATCAAATGATAAATCTTCCTCATTCACCTTGCTTACAACAAGATCTCCATGCGTATTGTTTGTTGAATATATTAGCCATAACCCTTTTTCGTCAATGGCAAAATCTAAATCGGTGTTCTTTCCAGACTGGTATGGAAAATGGCTATGAACACTAACATTTTCCAACGGTCTCTCACCAATCCATCTCGATTCTGCAAGACTGTAATGGGCTATCTTGTTAGTGAACATTTTCTGACAATACAAAACTTGTTTGTATACCACGTGGCCTGTTCCGACACATGAGAACGGTAATTCAAATATCTTTTGAACTTTTTCAAATTTCAGACCTGGAATTATAAACGCAAAATGATTTTCTAAAATTATCTTAGTTCAAAAGGAACAATGACTTATGGTCCATTCATTAAATAAAGAGATTGTCACACTATAATAAAATTGCATTTTTGATAGAAATGTCAATATATTGCCATACAAGTGCACATACTTATGGAATATTCTGTACATTCTGCATAACAAATGAAAGAGTTAAAATAAGTTTACATCGAACTTAGTATTATTCAAATAAATTAATAAATTTATTAAGTCCACATATCTACATATAGATGATATAAGACAAAATATGTATGCATACTTTTTAGGGAATCGAACTGGGTAACTTCGTTTATGTCGACATAGCCATACATTACCCAGATGTTTTCAGGCGTATGAGAGTCTAACATTATAGCTCCTTGCTCAACACCAGTTGTTACACTAGTGCCCTTTTTACTAATCTTCTTCAATTCTTGAGGACAGAACACTAAAGTAAGATAGCCATAAAAATAAAGAATCATTATGTAATGTAATGAAACATATAATCTGTATAACTATAACTGTAAACATGGCAATTCTTAAATAAAGAAATTGTCAATTTAACTTATTAGATTACTTAATTTTAATTTAATCAATTAAATGGACTTACAAAACATACTATTTATTTCTATCATATAGAATCTACATTTAATTGGACTACAATGACATTTTCCGTAGGTATTTCAAATATTAATAAAACAATAGAAAGGTATCATTTGGACATTCTTGAAAAATATTGCTTGAACAAAATGTTGATTAATTTGTAAGTGATTTTGTATTAATATCTTTATTGTGAATAGTATTTTTTTCTAGAACAATTTATTATCTGCTATATAGACATATGTAATATTTGATCATGTATCTCATACTTGCAACAACATCCATATAATTATATATTTCATGGTTTGTTGCCATGTTTGATATTAAATAATATCAACGTAATTTATTTATGGTATAAAATACCTTCGATTTTTTAGACCAATTCACTTTAACAATTCAGGAAAATACTTTTGAATTAATGAGAACTAAAACAGACAGCTGGAAACCACTCGTTTTTAGTTGTATATGCAACATCTCATTCGCCAACTGTAGCATTATTCAATCCTCAACAAAAGAATTATTTGAATCAATGATTGTTAAGGCAAATATAACAACATTTAGATAAAGTACTGGACAACCTGTAACAGCTTCCTTGCAGCTTTTTAACACCTGTTGTCTTAGAAACAAGGATTTCTTGATAATATATGTCGCAAAATAATCTTAGTTTGTAACATGTCTAAGATGTTGATCAAAATAAACTTTTATTCTATTTACGGATCCATATAAACGTAAAAGAATTGTCAAATGTCATCCCGGTTTGTTCCATAAAATGTAGTATTTCATGAACATGATTATTTTTATGACAAAATGTACCAATTGCCTTTGTATTATTTTACTGGTAGCGACAATGAGATGAAATGACTTGAAAGAATATAAAACAAAATTGACTCATTTGTATCATAACAAATCTTGAAAACGGTGATAATGAAAACTACATATATGTCAATCATGATACCATCATTACTATTACTGATGTACAAGCTTATATTTTTATTAAAATGATCATTTAGAATTTTGAAGTAATGAGAACTTAAACACTAAACAAACAGCTGGAAATCACTGGGTTTTAGTCGTAACTTTTTTAGTTTCATCAACTGACGAAGCTAATAATTGATATCTAAATTTGTGTTGGTTTTGTCCTATCCCATATAGAATAATGAAATTACCATTCAGTTGACAAAATTAAATACTTAAATGTTTTTCTTTTCCGAATCATATTTAAATTGATTAAAATCATGATCTTTGATATAATCCTGATTGATCTTTATATTTTATTGTTGATCGTAAAACATTTTTCTCAAATTCTCGAATATTCCAATTTTCTCTCTTAACAAAAATAAAAAAGTCCATTTCGGATAACTCAATAACGGGAGCTGCCAACAGAAAACATTTATTAATTGCATTATAATACAGCTGCCAAAAGTTGACAATAGTCTACAGAAAGATGTCATGATAGTGTCAATGTCTTCTATAAACAGATTAATCGCTACTCTTCTTGAAAATAATGTCATTTTTGGCGATAAAGGAAATGATTGAAAGTATTTCAAAGAAGTCAAATTTGATACGAATATTGCTTTATATAAAGTATCATGTCAAGAAATAACTGCTCATATATTTCTACAAACAAATATTCACTTAATTATTACTTCAACCACTTACCTTACTAGTTAGTTAATTTTCGTGTTAATATAACAGACTTACTTATTATTGGTTAAATGTTTTACCTTTTATACGTAGGATAATGTTGATAAACAAACGGAGAACATGTTGCAAATTTTGTGATATTAATATAAATATGAATACATTTTCTTGTATTATTGGTAAAACCACGCTTGTATTTCCTTGGTAAAACCACGTAAAAATGATAATATATATATGTTTAGAGATTATATCAACTACGTGTTCATAAATTTTTCATCTATCGTACTTTTGATAGCAAAACACAATTCTAAATATTGACTTCACAGACATAATATCTGAGATGTGTGAATTTTTACCTGTTTTCTCTCCAAAAAATGTACCGTGCTCAAATCCCCCTGGCATTAGCTTCGTTATGTTAAACAATGTCTCATTCATGACGTCAGCTCTCAGATCTAGGATTTCGCCAACACCGCGTGCACCACGTGCTGTCTTCATGATAGATGTCGTCAGACGCATCGTTGTCCTAATTAGTTCGTTCATTTGAGTATTCTGTGAGAGTAACCCCATTCTCAAAAAATTATACTGGTTCTGTAGGGCTGGAATAAAGACAAACAGCTTTTAATGAGTAAAAAGCTATAATTTTATGAAATATTTATCAAAAGTGAATTATATTGAATCCATAATTATAAGGTCTATTTTCGAAAGAGCTGTAGCATAAAATATCTCCGTTTTTTAATACACAGGAATATTGCAGGTAGACATAATAAAACATTCTGATACAAAATGTTATTCTGCACTTTTAAGTAGGGTTTATCTGTTAAGCAATGAGTTCGTGCATGCATTATTCGCTATTATGGCAATTTACCACCATATTTATTTCAAACAAGCATTTTGGAAGATTTTTTTTTTTAATTTCAGAAAATCATTCTTGTAGTATATATATAGCTTTATACACATTAAACGTTCAATGTGCTAAATGAGTTGTTCATAAATGAAAATATTTTTTTCTACTTTAACTCTGTTTTATCTTGATCATTTATTTTAAATATACAATGTAACAACAGCCTCACAATTTCTTTTTTTACACTCAGTGATGATTAATTGACACCAAAGCAAGTAAATTGTTTTCTGCATTTTGAAATACCATTTTAACTTGTAAATGAACAGTATTGGTAAATATAAAAGCAGAGTCCCTTTGTTCATTAATCGACTACGGTCTGTTTAAATCCAATATGGAACAGAAATGACATATGTGTAATGATTTAAGTTAATTAGATTTTTATCCTACTATTTATTTCATCCCGGTTTTGTTTTTATACTAACTCAAATACATACCATCATCTGTCGGAACGTTTTGTTTGAGAATAGCAAGTTTACCTGCAATTATAGCCTCTCTTGCTAATGGTGAAGTAAGATCATGTCTTCGTAATGTGTTCAGATCATTCTTGAGTTCATCATCACCTCTCTGTAGAAGGGTTGTCAGGTTTATCAGATTATTTATCTGCAGCGTCAGGTCTTCTCGTACCTTTCTCAGCAGTTTACTGGCGTCACTTAATTTTTTCGTTGCTTTATGTGCCTCGTCATTTAAGGAAGAGATACTTGACCTGAGAAAAAAGTAGCTTAATATTAAGACAAATGTTGTACCAATTATTTTTTTAAATTAAAAAGTGTCTGTTTAACACTGAAATCAGAATGCATATCCTATTTATGTTAAACAAATTGTTTTGAAAATAAAATCAACTCTTAAACATTGAATTCAGAAAGTGAATCTATACTGAACTACTGATTTGAGAACGAACTTTTAGATCGAATTCAGAAAGTGTTTTATGTTGAATATTTGTGATAATCAGAAGTTTTTATTATTCAGGAAACGACATCACATTAATCCACGAAAGCATAAACCGACCATTCAATATTGTCAATTTTGTCGTGTTGGGCTTTCTTTAAGAATTCAGTTTTCTCGATTTCCTAGCAGTACTGGATTAAATTTATTTTAGAAATACACGCATACGCTTCAAGCATCGTGGTTATTAAACTAACATGTATCTACAAACACTGAAACTTCTCTATATAGATAGTTACATAATAAGAATTAGTTCATCAAATTTGTATTAAAACCAAAGACAGGCTACAAAGAGCTACAGTTGAAATTATTCAATTACACAAATAATATTTAAACTAAGGATGAAATGCAATAAAACTGGTCATTTAATAACTTTAATATGTAGATTTTATCAAGTTTTGCGTTTGAAATTATTTTCATGAAATACAAGTATCAACATAATAGTTGTTACAGCTTTAATCGGTGATACTCTTTTTGTACCTATTAAGTACTTTTGTACTTCCTATATCTTTCTCATACTGCACAGTTCCGACAATTAGGAAAGGATTTTGATTATTGAACTGCACAGAGAGAAGAACACCTGTTTGAGCATTATAACGATAAAGTTGGTGGTAAATTGAAATAACATGATAAATGGCAACCTGTCAACACAAACACCTGTTTATTGCTTCTATCCTATATCCTCTTTATTAAGTAAGTCTGTAAAATGAATAGCTACTATTTGTATGATGTTTTGTAATTTGTAAATAATTATGATTGCATAGATAAGCTGTCTACAAAATTTGATTTTTTTAATGGTACAGTATGAGAATTAGAAATTTTGGCGTAAATTCGAACATTCTAATTTCTAATTAACGCGATCTGGATAAGATAAGGATTTTAGCGATTATATAGTCTGTAATAGAATACTAAAATAGTCATAACGATGAAAGTAAAAAGTTTTAAGTCTACAACATATTAATTTTGCCGTGTAGGGCAACATATATTTATATATTATAGTAAAACACAAGTTCTAATAATAGTTTTGTAAATACTTATTTATTTTGATAGAAAATACAAATGTACTTAATAGAACAAAATACTCTTTTTTTTCTCAAACGATAGTTCTACGTTAGTGGTCGTTTTAAATTTGATTGCGACGTTGACAAAATAAATCATCAGTTATATAATGTTCCCTTTTTTTTAGATTTTGTTTTTGACGTTAATAAGTCAAAAAATACAAAAATCAAATAAGAGGGGTGTATGCACATTTGTCATAATATCAATGGATATTACAACTTTGAATATAAGTAACTGATATAAGCATAGGCATAGAAGTTGAAATCTTTAAGTTTATAGATCCTATAGGAAATGTTCATCATGCCCCCGCTTATTTCATATTTCTTACGGTTATTGCATTTCAGTTAATAATTCTCTATTATACGTTTGAACAATATACACTGACTATAAACACTAAATAATTTAGCAAAATTAACTTTTATTGCTCTTGACACCTCTCAAAATTATGTTGCATTTATGAACAAGAACTGTCGGAGGACAGAGGACAGTAACGCTCGACTATTCGTAAAAGTTGTCACAAGGGTGTTTCATTGAGTACAATAATGCTCTCCTTTATGAATACATAAAATTGTCCGAAAAGGTACAAAGGCTTAATAGTAAGACGTTATATCGAATAATCACTGCTTTTTTATTATGAATGCATAAAATTGTTCCAAAAAAAGGCACAAACCCTTCATTAGTTATGGAGATACCAGCTTACACGCAAAAACTTAACCAAGGATTTCTAAGTCGAAAGAGGGGCATCATTATGCAAAAAAGCAAATCAGAGTCAATCATGCTAGATAATCACAGAGAACAAGTATGTGAAGTTTCAACTCATTCCCTTTAGTAGTTATGGAGATACCAGCTTACACGCAAAAACTGAACCAAGAATTTCTAAATCGAAAAAGGGGCATAAATATGCAAAAAAGCAAATCAGAATTATGGGACTTAAGCTTATCATGTAAGAAAATCATTGAAAACAAGTGTAGGAAGTTTCAATCCAATCTCTTCAGTAGTTATGGAGATATCAGCTTACACGCAAAAACTTAACCAAGAATTTCTAAGTCGAAAAAGGGGCACAATTACGCAAAAAAGCAAATCAGAGTTATGGGACTTGTGCCAATATGTAAGATAATCACAGAGAACAAGTGTGTGAAGTTTCAATCAATTCCCTTCTATAGTTATGGAGATACTTGCTTACACGCAAAAACTAAATCAAGAATTTCTAAGTCGAAAAAGGGGCATAATTATGCAAACAAGCAAATCAGAGTTATGGGACTTGTGCCAATCATGTTAGATAATCACAGAGTGTGTGAAGTTTCAATTCATTCCCCCCCCCTTCAGAAGTTATAGAGATACTTGCTTACACGCAAAAACTTAACCACAGGGACGCCGACGCCTTCATATGGATGACTGCATTGGCTCGATTATTCTGCAAATAGTCGAGCTAAAAATAATGTAAAATCTACCACATAAACTGCACTAGTTTTCATTTGAAATGTAGCAAATTTGTTGGCAACAAAACTATTAATTGTTTTTTATTTAGAAAATGACGGGTTATCCATAAACCGTTCTTTTTCCTCTTGATCAATTAAATCAGTGTCAGCTTTATTGATTGTGAAGACGCTCAAATTGCACAATGGAGATTGACCAGAAACAACCATAGTTATCATATTCCGTGATTGTTATCTTGTTAACAATACATTGGAGTTATTATTTATGGATATTGTAGTAGTGAGTCATTTATTTCTTGTTGACACATAGAAAAATCTATCATCATTATATGCACATAGATTATTTATTGCATATTCTGAATAATCTTCATATCGTGGAAGGTCAGAAACGTTTAATGTTGATCTACACGAAAACTTATGTCTCTGATTTATGATCATCGTGAAACAAAATGTAGGACATTCTATTCTAACTGTGTGCTGTTTGAACAGAGGAACAAGTCTGAAGTACGACAGAGACAAACGTATCTTCAGGAAATAAATGCCTTTCACGGGATACCACAAAATGATTGCTATCGATATATGTTCAGTCATATTTAAGAAATAGAAAATACTATCAAATTTCATTTCAAATAACTTGTTACTTTGAAATAATTAGTAACTGTATAGATACATAAATTACAAATATATGTAGAAGAGAAAACGAAAATGGAGATTGAAAGAAGATGGATAATAGAACATTCTAAAAGGATTGAAATGATATAAGAAAAATGAAAGGTAAAAAGGGAAAAGACAAAAAATAGGACATGTTAAAAAGAGAAAAAGAAGATGACAACTAAAAAGATTTTTTGAATAAAATATAAATAAGAAAATAAAGTAAAACAAAATATGGAAGGACAACAACGAAGCCTCATATCAAGAGAAGAAGGAATAGAAAACGGAATAAGACAAGAGTTGTCCGTAAGACAGCGCGCTCGACTTTTTTAGTGCTTGCCTATAATACAAAACATTGACAGTTAAGGGCCATAATTCAAATAAAATCTTTGACAGAATTACCTTCTCCTGGACATGTTTGGGAATCATGATTGTAAACAAGTATTCCAACTTTCAAATTAATATCTCAAACAGTTCAGTCAAAAAGTGGACTGGTACTAAAAACTTAACCAAGATTCTAAGTCGATAAAAGGCCTTAATTTTTAAAACAAATCCTTGACAGAGTTACCTTCTCTTGCGTACAGATGGGGGTAATGATGTGAAATAGCATTAAAAGTTTCAAAGCAATATCTCAAAGGGTTAAGGCAATAAGTGGATTTTACCCATATTCAATGTATTTTCTAAGTCAAAAAGGGGCATAATTCTGTCAAAAACCTTGACAGAGTTATGTCCTCTTGTCTGTTGATGAAGGTCGTGATGGTAAACAAGTATGGTCAGTTTCAAAGCAATACCTCAATGGTTTTGAAATAAAGTGAGGTGGTACAAAAAACTTAACCAAGATTCTAAGTCGATAAAAGGCCTTAATTTTTAAAACAAATCCTTGACAGAGTTACCTTCTCTTGCGTACAGATGGGGGTAATGATGTGAAATAGCATTAAAAGTTTCAAAGCAATATCTCAAAGGGTTAAGGCAATAAGTGGATTTTACCCATATTCAATGTATTTTCTAAGTCAAAAAGGGGCATAATTCTGTCAAAAACCTTGACAGAGTTATGTCCTCTTGTCTGTTGATGAAGGTCGTGATGGTAAACAAGTATGGTCAGTTTCAAAGCAATACCTCCAATGGTTTTGAAATAAAGTGAGGTGGTACAAAAAACTTAACCAAGCTCAATACACTTTCTAAGTCAAAAAAGGGCCATAATTCTGTCAAAAACCTTGACAGAGTTATGTACTCTTGTCTGTAGATGGAGGTTATGATGGTGAACAAGTATGGTAAGTTTCAAAGCCATACTTGTAATACTTCTGAAATAAAGTGGGGTGGTACGAAAAACTTAACCAAGGTGTGACGCCAACGCTAACGCCGACGCCGACGCCGGGGCGAGTAGGATAGCTCCCCTTTTCATAGAAAAGTCGAGCTAAAAAACAAAAGATATAAATAATCCATTTAAAGAAGTTATATACATGTAAATGCATTTAATTGTAAAACAAACCGTTTTTACCTTTTAAAATGAAACACAACGGGAGTATTAGCGCTTTCGACGCCCGTTTTACCAGTCAGTATTATATTACCATTATGATCCAATAATTGCAACACTACAACATTTGTGCATACAATTTCTGCACGATTATTGTTCATATTATACTGATACACACATGTTTGTTTTGATTGTATTTCATTAATAAAGCATACGAAATGCAAGAGCACTAGAGCTTGAAAATACATTGTTCACAGTTAAAAAGGCTCTGAGACACTAACGATGAATTTACTATCAATAATGTTTTATATATATATTTAAAAAAAAATGCTAGTAATATATCAACTAATGTTCATTTTCTTCTTAATAAAATGGGCGAACTTTAATCATTGGTTCTTTCATCCACCTAGATATCAAGAATACACGCCCTTACAGATTAATTTTAGTTTCAGAACCCAATGTGATAAATATCTAGTGCATGTCCCAACATTAAACTGTATCAAAAATGACTCTCCTAATTTTTTGCTACATTTACCATTTTATTATTTCAATGAGTTTATATGAAATTGTGATGGTATATAATTTTCTTTGCAGAAAGATCTTACACAACTCGTACGTTTTGTAAACGGAATTCTGGCACAAACACAATTTAAGTGTAAAACAATAAATACAAGATATGATGTAAGTTTTGTGAGATTATCTTTAAGAAGTACTTGAGCGTTTAAGTGTTATATGTATAAGCTTTAGGTTTCGGAATTTTCTAAGTTTTCAAATATATTTGAAAGAGATATCTCTTTGATCATGCATTACATTTATACCAATATAAATTCTTGATGAGAACAATAATGAAATGTATTTCCCGTTAAATATTTATCACAAAACGCTAAATTGCTTTGTTTGTTGAAGTTATTGTGTATCGTCCAGTAATTTGTTTTGTTGCCATTCAATCATAACAGTGTAGTTCAAAGCAGCGGTAAGTCAGTAACAATATGTATGATTAGAAGTTAATAAACAGCAGAGTATGACCGGTAGATGAAGTATGTATGTATGTATGTATGTATGTATGTATGTATGTATGTATGTATGTATGTATGTATGTATGTACGTATGTAGGTGCGTGCGTGCGTGAGTGCGTGCGTGCGTTATTTTTGAGCTAGCGGTCCCAAATGAAAGGTGATGACAAAGATAAAAAGTAATTGCAGCAATTAGAGTACAGTATAGGTAAATATCAAAGTCTGATGCATGTTAATTTGATTTCTAATAACCCTAACGTTGTTCATTTAAAAGTATAGTTTTAACAAATGATATTGTAAAAATATGTTTAGCTGGAATGTCGCAATATGAATCACAAGATAAAAAAGAGATTTAAATTAATTATTAAACATACCTAATATACACAATCGTAACACTATATAATAATCAAACATTTGAATAATTTTGTTATTACACTTAAAGTATAAATATTTTAAAGCAGGTGTGATACCAAACAGTTTCTAAATGTAAAAGAATGGTTACCGGTCCAGCTGAAATACAGGAGAAGTATCGGCGGAACTGATGCTTGTTTCCCCGGTAAGTAGCGTGTTTCCATTTTGATCAACAATATGTAATACTGCGCCTTTCCCGCATGTTATTTGAACGTTATTATTCTTCATATCATATTGGTAAACACATTCTTTAGCTGATTGTACATCACAAATATAACATACGCTTAACAATACAAATCTTTGATAAAGCTTCATTTTGAAACAGGGAAAGTATTAATTATGGAACATTTTTGTTGTTAGAAACAATCCGTCAACATTGAAATAAGATTCAATAAATATAATTATATTTTAGGTCAAATATTATATAACACATTAAAGTTCCATTATCCATTTGAGCAAATGATACACTTTGATCGTCTCCAAAAGTTTGAAGGAAACCCACTTTGTTAACTATTCATCTTGCTAGTTTTGTTATTCAATAATCCTTGCAGTACCATAAAACATCGCTTATCCACTACAGAAAGAAAGGTTTGTTTAATCCACATGAATAGTAAATGTGATGCTACTCCAGTGTTACAACAAACGTCTATTTGTATTAGCGTTTTACAACTTTATGAATATGTTCACGTTGCTGATACAAGTTCATTAGTACGGTAATATGAAGAGAATCAATTCTCACATCAAATTGTCTACAACGACTATCTGGGGAAAAAACTATACTTCTTCTAGTCATGTGTGGTATCACACTGTATGTCCTTCCACAATTTTACAAAAAGCACATTGGTAACATTAAACCACAGACAAGTTAATGAAACCTGCCAATGATAGCTCTTCAATTATGTTCTTTTAAGTTAATGCTATATTATCATTTATATCCCGTGCACTTGATCGCAGCCATCAATAAATTATAAATAAATGCTGATTCAATTAGAACGAAAGAAACTTCCGTTCTTAATTATTTATTGCTTTCACCTAACGCAAACAATTCTAGTGAATACCCTACGGACTAGTGTCTGCAGAAATTATTCACAACTCAATAAATCCAGAACGACAGCATGATATTATACATTTTTACATTGAAATAGTTAAAGTAATATATTTGCTTTGCTAAAAGTACGAATATGCGTCTATAAACTATATATCTAACAATATATTCAAGTATATGACGTTATAGATCATTATATAGCATTTGTTGGTTAATTATGAAAGAATTATCAATATCAGATCAAATATCATTTTAATTTTATTATTCCACATCTTAAAAATATAACCATTAAACTTTCAGGGTGATGTTCCATTAGAAATCATTATTGGATCCAATTTTATTAATTTAGCCTCGTTTCCATTTCCAGAGTACGTAACATCTATATCAAATGCATATCACACCCCGTTTAGCCTCGTTTTCAGTTTTACAGTCCAAAATATCTATATTAGATCCATATCGTACTCCATCTAGCCTTATGTATATTTTCAATTAAAAACACACACAAAAAAGCAACAGAAAAATGTTTTATAATTTCAAAAATGTAAAGAGGTCATTTATTCAACATTATTGAGAACAATTCTGATTTTATTGTACATAGCTGCAATACCTATATTAGACGAGGCCCTAGCCGATAACTGTGTAATCGTCCAATAGAATTCAATATTGAACTCAACAATGTATAATATTCTTATATATTTTTAAACGTTACTTATCTGACATATAAGGAAATAGTGGTAATTCAATGGCTGGGATCAATATGGAAAATGAAACTGTATCTGCGTCAAATACCAACAAAAGGTATACATATCACTGTCAAATTATGAAATACCAACACACGATACATAACCATAAGAAAATTTAAACACAAGTTAAACCTTTACATAAATGCTTACTCGCAAAATGATAAACACGCAAATTTTGAGTACGTAAGTAATACCAATACCAGATATATATATGTACCAATACAAGATTGGCAATCTTTACAAGATTAAAGAGGTACAACCAAATACCGAGATTGCGTCAAATACCAACACAAGACGAACACAGGCAAATAGTTTCGTTTGTTTTTATAAATTCAGAAGTTACTTTCGTCATTGCGTTTATTTGCTCATTTTAAGATGATAAAGTGGTGCATAATTATCGACGTTGTTACACATAATATGTACATTATATCAAGAAATTGTTGAAAATGATCATTTTAAAACATTACGAGATCGTAATTTCATATTTCCTCTAGGCATATCATGATCTTATCAATAAATCGTTTAATCATATTCTAAAATTAATTCGGGAGTTAATGTAATTGCTATCTCTCAGCCGGAATAAGAGGTTAATACACGGCAGGAGAGGGCCGGAAGGTGATAATCGGCCCGCAAAATGAATAATGGACCCGAGGGCTTTAGCCCGAGGGCCATTATTCATTCAGGGCCGATTATCACCTTCCGGCCCTACTCTGACGTGTATTAATGTCTTTAATACACTTGGTAGATCTAAATGTAGCATTTTTAAAAAAGAAAAAACAACAACAACAACTACAAATAGAAATCTACTTTGAAGTTCTTTGGTTGAAATTCTTGTGTTCTGTACGGAGATGTTTACTGTTTGTGTGTTCAAAGAAGCAAGTTTTATTTTCATTTTTTTTTCGGATTGAATTTGTCGTATTATTTCTTCAAATTTCAACAGTAATAATACAAAAATGTGTTTGTACTAAATACGATGTGCTGTCAACCTACTTTCACTTTTACAGTTAACTGTTTCATGACGTAAAATATGACGTCATTGTTTCAGTTTGTGCACGTGCACATGTTCTGCGGGCTGATAACTTGTTCTCGGCCCCGGGCCGCAAACTCATAATAGGTCACGTGACACTCATAATCAGTTGAAATCATAGGCAATTTTGTTACTATATATAGTAACAAGTGTATTAAATAGTCGTAAAATGTTTTTAAATCATTAAGACATACCCAAAAAGCGGAACGGAACTTTGCTTTTAATTATTTTATATTCTTCCGTGATCGTAAAACATTCTGTAGAATACCCCCAAGACTGTAATAAATCATGAAACTGCAGAAGCGTGTGCAACACTGAATAAATTTAAGAGATGTTATTGAATGACGATATTGTTTACCGTTCAGACAAACATTATTGAATAAATATTTCATAGCACTTCGTATATATACCGCTAAAAGCTAAATATAATAAGTTTGAATATTTATTTCTGAAATGTTTATAGCATATTATTTCATCAACATATATATATCAGCATATGTGGATCTATATAACTGGGTTAAATAAATGATTTAAAGGAATATTCCCATCTTACATTTAAGGAAATAACATCGGTATACTTAAAGTATTCATTTAAACTTTTTTTTCATGTAAATAACACAAAACAAGTCAAATATGTTATTTGCACTACAATCTGCCAAGTACGGGGACGCATTTAATCAAAGCACTGAATGTACTGATGGGGAGGCTATGAGAGAATGTTTCAGACTTATAGTTTCTTTTCTTTTTGCTTAAAATATGCTACCAAAATAAAAAGATATGCACATTGCGCTATTTATCCTTACTGTTGTGTTCAACCATTCATATATATGGTTAATGTGGTTGACTATTCATTTTGTTAATATTCCAGAACATTTAATTAAGGTCTACATTCGGACTGTTAATCATGGCGTCAATGGGATAATATATAAAGCTAAATATTTCTTGAAAAAAATACATCTCTGCAAAGCTTTATTCAAAACTGAATCAACCTAAGTGAAAATTGATCAGGAAGTTATATCTTCTTTTTTTACCGCCAACACTCAACACTCAACCAACTTATGGTAGTTAATCGATAGATTCTACGTGTATTTTTAAACCTCACTAGCTTGAAATATATACTGCGGAAAATCTGTTGTTAACAGGGTGTGCGGTTATTACGTAGGGTTTTCCCTGTCGACCATTTCCCGCAAATAGATGAGAACATCGAAGCCGTCAGTGCTATGAATGGTGTTATAAATGGCGTGTTTTGGAAGTTTTTGTTGAAACTTCTCCAAATACCTCCAGAGGCGTGCACGTCGCGGAGAAGGCACACGGAAGGTCATAGTCAAGTCATCATAAGTACCAGAGGTGATTGGTTGACCTGTCGTGACTTACTCTGGAGGTTTGGCGCTAATAGATGCCGTTTTTGTTGTCGTCAGTCAGAAAGTTTGATGCCTTGACGGTATTGTCGTCTCCTTTACCACCAAAGAACGAAGAATGGGCTTCCAGGAAGAATCTGCTTGAAAAAGACGTCCCAGATGCTATAATCTCGGACATATGGTTATTCCGGTGCCAAGTATAAATAAACTTAAAACACACACACTTTTGTTGAAAACAAAACAACAACACATTTTCTGTAGTAATTTTTCAAGTGTTGTAAAATGAATAAGAAATTCCTCTTATGCCGCCCATTATTTTTAGAACACAACCATAAAAGTTCTTTCTTTTTATTTTTCAAATAAACATTTATCACTTTCAGCGGGAGCAAATATCGGTTTCAAAATTAAAGTTTCGTAAGATATGTTAATGACTTCCCGATGCTCGACTGTAAGTAATTTGTATATGTATGCGGTTTTTTTTTTGTTTTTTGTTTTTTTTTTTTAATTAAAAGCTTCTTATTCTTTAATATTTTTTATGTATCTCATAATCTGTATTGAAAATTTGAATTTTTATTACAAATGGACTATCAAATTATGATGTATGCCCTAGAATTGAATAAACTTTCTAATTACACAATACGGGGTCATACTGATCTTTGCGTCTTTCTCTGAAATAATTATTTCCTTGTTAAAACATATTTGACCACATATTTCTGTCAATTAACTGTTCACTTAACTTCCGATTTTTGTTGTACGGAAACACATGTTTCTTTTTGTGTTTTCTAATCAATTCGAATCTATAATCAGTTTAATGGGATCACCACCGGGTAAACGACTACTAGGTACTTTGGTCATGTTTTTTACCACAAATATTTGAATGTTTCTATTGGGATTAAAATGAGCATAGTAAACTAAACAACTGTTTGTATAAATTCCTGACCTGTCTAATTCTAATTATGAGATTAGTGAATATATAAGACTTTCACTACAAAATATTCCTAAACAAAAGAGCACATGTTTAAATTTATTCCTATACAAATAAAAGATCAGAGTAGGGATCTGTCAATTACCAAAGATACTTTTATGTTAAAAGTTTGATTAATGAATTATGTAAGATGAAAATATAAGTATTGCTTTTTTTATTTTGCTAATGTAAAATGTAATATTGTGCTGAAATTTTGTCGGAGGTCCTTAGGGGTTTTGTAGTTAAATAGTTTTTTTTCGGCGATAATGGTTAAAGAATATAATGTTTTTAATCTATATGTTCATCACCATCAGTGAATTTTTAGTTAAATGTATGCAAAATATTTACTAAACCGCTATATGATTTAGCGGTTTATGAGCGTTTTCCGCGTACAGCCTCCTTGGGTGTACAAATAAGTTAGTTTTCCTTAGTTATCACGCAAGCATGATCCATGTCTCTGATGTAAGCGACAATTTACAATTATTTGTCTTTAAAAAATATTAAGGACTATTAATAGTTTATAACAACAAAAGAACATGCATGATATTGAGAATACGTAGTTGCAACGTTCTAGTTAATGACCCGTCATAAAACAGTTGGTCGCTGCGTAGTAATTGGAAAATTGTTATCAAAAATAATAAAGAATATTTGCCACTGAATTAAAGCATTTACTTATAAATTTTCATTTATGCTTTTTGTTAAAAAAATATGGATAAAAGTTATTATTTTGAAGGGTTTTTCATACCAGAACTATTTATTACAGACGTACGTATGCCTAAACCTGATTACCGCGGCAGTATGACGTCACGGAAGTAGTGATTTAAACAAAAATCAAGAATTTTTCAGAGAGTTATTATCTTTACAAATTGCAGATATGAAATTAAAAGAATGAAAATATTTTCATATTGTAAATGTC